GGTAAGCCCCCCACCCCCAACATGCACTAGAGCTCTAAAGACAGTAGGAGCTCTAGCTTAAAGACAGTAGTTTAAGCCTTCACCAGAGAGCTGAAAGCTGGATGTGGTGGAACGTGCCTGGTAGATAAAGATGGGACACTGAGACAGAAAGATCTCAAATTCACAGCCACCCTGAATAAAAAGATATGGGGATACAGCTCAATGGTAAAGTATCCCTGGGTTCAATCCCCAGTAGTAACAACAACAAAAAAGTTCACCAGAGACTCATGCACATTATTATTTTCTGAAAAATAAAACATACAAGCAAGTGATAATGATGAATTAATTATAGTTACTTGCTACTAATTAAACACAGAAAATGAAACTTGGAATCAAGGAACTCCAAATTACAAGACTTAAATTCACTTTTGGTTGGCCACTCATTTTTTCAACAAATAATTACTGAATGCCAGGTGCTGGGAATACAACTGTGAGCATGCCCGGAAAGAAGTGTATATTCCAGTGCAGGAAAATCGGCAATAACCAACTAAGCATACAAAAAGCGCTCACCTTATATACTGGTAAGGTGCAAACCCTTGGCCAAGTTCATTTTCAAGACTCTCGGTTAAAACGGAGCCAGGCTACTGATATTTGTGATATCAAGCTAGGCAACAGAAACACAGGTCTACTGTCATGGTTAAAAAATGAAGTCCTCAAACGGGCGCAGAGGCGCACGTTTGTAATCCCAGCTACTCAAGGCTGGGGCAGGAGGTTCCCAAACTCGAGGCCAGCCTCAGCAACTTAGCAAAAGCGTGCCTCAAAATAAAAAGAGCTGAGAATGGTGCTCAGTGGTAGAGGGGTTGCCAAGCATGTGCGAAGCCCCGGGTGCTGGCGACGTCTCTAAGTCTGGGCTGAGTGACATGTGTTACTAGGTTCAGGGAACCGACCCAGCGCCCCGCTTTAGCAGCAGCCTCAACTGCGGCCCGAGGTCTCCTTGTATCCAGACGCGTCCAGCAGACAGCCGGGCGGCGCCACTCACCTGGCGCCGGGCTAAGAAGGTCGCCGAAGGGATCATAGGTGTCGCCTCCGCCCGCGGAGAGTCGGTGTGGGCGCGTCACCTGGGAAAGGCCATAGGGGCGCCTGGCCAGAGCGGCGGGGGTGGCCCGGCCCCGCGCCCCCGCCAGCCCCCGCGAGCCCGCCCAAACCGCCCGCCGCGCGATCGCGCCTACGGCGAGACAGAGGGGCCGCTGGGTCTCGCGAGACTTGGGGCCTCGACGGTTCAACTCGGGTGTCCTAGGGACCGCGCTGTCAGCTCCACAGTTCCGCATCGCCCCGGTTAGTCTGATGATGGGCGTGGCTGTTATTTCCCATCTGCAGACGCGGGTGCTGGCAAGTGGTAGTTGCTGGTCGCTCTCGCTGATCAAACCGAGATCTCATAGGCTAAGATGAGGGGGAAAAGTAGCAGAGAGAACCGTGGTACTTTGTCATGACAAGATTTACCGCATTCTAGGGTTAATGTAATCTTTTTCACATGTCTCAGTCACTACTTCATCCCCCTTACACTCCTCATAAAATATTTTTGGGAACTGAATTATGAAAAGGTGCCTATCACATCTAAGCCCTGATGTTGGACTCTGCAAGACAGATTACTAGATAAGGGACAAAAGGGCTTCCGTTTTTGTTTGGGTTGATTGTGAATTAGCAAAACATGACTGTGGTCATAAGAGACCATCCGGGAATGGAAGAACAAAGTGAAGATTTCTCGCTTTGAAACTTCGCCGATTTGGGGGTAATGATTCTGCCTCCTTAATTTAGAACCAACAAGATGATTATCTTAGAATTTGTAATCAAGCACATTATGACCAGTTGTTAGAAATAGCCCTCCCTATCGCCTAGACATGGCAGAAGAGGCCATCTACTTGAGAGGCTGAGGCAGGATTCAAGTTAGGAGGCCTGCTTGGGTGATTATAAAGAAATAGCATTCATATGATCATAGTTGATAAGCAACCTCAAAATAAAAAAGGCTGGGAATATAGCTAGAGCACGTGCCCAGTATGGGTCCAGTCCCCATTACTGCAATAAAGCATCTGTTTGTAGATGACTGTGGAATAAGTCTTGGTGGTGAAGGTCAAAAGAATGTGGGCTGACCCTTAGTTTTTTTTTTTTTTAACTGAATAACATTTTAGCTCACATGCTTTTTATTTTTTGGTATTGAAGATTGAACCCAGGGTACTTAAGCACTGAGCCATGTCCTCAGCCCTTTTTGTATTTTATTTAGAGAAAGGGCCTCGATAAGTTAGTGAGGCTGGCTTTGAACTCGAGATCCTCATTCTCAGCCTTCCCAGCCCCTGGGATTACTGGCAGGTGCTACTGCACCCAGAAGTTCATATGGTTTTAGACTATACCATTTTAAGTTAAGATTGGGTACTTTTTGAAATAAAGTGTCACCATTCACCAGACAACCACATGCCTAACAGTCTGCAAAATTATGTGTACAGAGAATAGTAAGAAATAGAGTTCACATGATTATAGTTAATAAGCAAAAATTGAAGGTGATAATGCTTTAAGTTCACTTCCTCAAATTTTCCTTAAAATCAAAACAAAATCTAAAAAGAGAGCACTTTTATTAAAAATGACATAAAAGTGAAAGCTGCAAGAATTACAATGTGGGGCTGAGGTCGTGGCTCAGTGGTACAGTGCTTGCCTGGCACATGAGAGGTACTGGGTTCAATCCTCAGCACCACATATACATAAATAAAATAAAGGTATTGTGTTCACCTACAACTAAAAAATATTAAAAAAAAAAAAAAAAAGAATTACCATGTGGCCAGACACCATGGTGCACAACTATTATCCCAACAAATCAGAAGGCTAGGCAGGAGGATTGTAAGTTTGAGGCCAGCCTGGGCAATGCAGTGAGACCCAGTCTCCAAATAAAAATTAAAAGGGCTAGGATGTGCCTCCATAGTAGAGCACTCCTGGGCTCAGCCTCCAGTATCACACATACAAAAAAGCAACCGATTTTAGACCCATACAGTCTAACCCAAACTAAATTCCTGAATGGACTCATTCTAGTCTTCCGGCTTGATTTCCCAAAGGATGGAATTTACTAATGATCTAAAAGGTTGAATTCAGTATTTTTTGTTTTTCAGTGCTGGGATTAAAACTAGGACTTCGCACATGCTCAGCAAGAATTATCTTTAAAATTGTAATTAATGAACTATCTACAGAGTGTATCTTAACAGCAGATTTACACTTCATGTAATCCATAAAAATCCAGCATCCATATTTTTTAGAAATGAATACAATACTATGTATTTACATACAAAAATACATCTAGCAGGCATGATGACTCACTTGTAATCTCAGCCGATTGGGAGGCTGAGACAGGAGGATCATGATTTCAAAGCCATTCTCAGCAAAAGTGAGGCACTAAGCAACTCAGTGAGACTCTGTCTCTAAATTAAAATACAAAACAGGTCTGGGACTGTTTCTCAGTGGTTGAGTGCCCCTGAGTTCAATCCACAGTACCAAAAAAAAAAACTAAAACTATATTTGCATTTGAAGTTGACTATTTCACCACGGCAAATCTCTTAAACATGGTAAGTAAGGCTGCTTAAAAGTTTTCATTTCTTTTTGCTAAAAAAAATACTAGACTATGAGAGTGAATAAAAGTCAATATTTTAGTCAGATTAAAATAGGTTACAATCTAAAGTCAAAGAAAAAGATTCACATATATGTGATCCACGAAGACAAGTTTAATCCTGCATTTTCCTAGAGTAACATCCACTGGTGGCTATGTAAGGGTTGAAAGTGCATTTGCCAAGAACTGTGAACATGAAGATTCTTTACATGAAATCACGTGTTGATACAGGCACACAGAACTCATCTAGCACCAGAAGAATACATACATAATACATGCCAAAAGGTTTTGATGGATAAATTTGCTTCACTAGGTAATCCTACTTAGTATAATTCAGTTAATGCAGAATTTCATTTTAAAATTTACATCTTTATTACACACCTTTTCTAAGACATTTTTTTTTAAAAAACACCCTTTCATTAAAGATTGTATTTGCATGGCAATGAACAATGATTTTCATGGGTTCTAAATTTCTCCTCCTCTTTCTCTCCCCTCCCCCACCCCATTCTAACTTTCTTAAAGGTGTCTATAGCAATGTTTAACACAAATCAGAAGATTTCAGTTTGCAGCACCTGACTTAAAACTTAGAATCATATAATACATTCATTAAAATTATCAGTTTCTCTTGTGAGTGAAAGATATTTCAACTGTTATTTTCCAGGCTATATTTGAACATGAGTATACATTAATTTTAATTGGTTAGCAGAATTTTACTCACATAAGGTATAGTCAGAACAGGAACTTCCAGCAGCTTTGAATGGCCTTCCACACAAGACAACAATAATGAATGTTTAAATGGATTGAAGATTAGCCCCTACATTAATGACCAAACATGCTCCTAAGTATTCTTGAAAAATAAAAATTTTGGATGTACATATAATATTCTACCACATGATAATACATCACTTCTTTAACCATTTTCCAATTGTTCATTTATGTCATCTACAATTATTGATATTATGAATAATTGTGAGGAATCCCCTCATCCATAAATCTGTGTAAAACTAACCAGTCTTGCATACTATCCTAATACTTTAGGATAGTATCAAAGAAGTAGCTTACTGGATCAAATAGTGCACATGGTTTTAAGGCTTTTAATATACTTTACCAAATAATCTCCAGTACAGCTTACTATTACTACAATAGTATGTTGTTATGCCCAAAAAATGGACTTTGTTAGTAACAATGAAACAAACTCAACCATAAATCTATTATATTCTCACTCATACTATCGCACCATCGCACCAAACAAATCAGGAGACATTATTGGCAAGGAAGCCAAATTCAAATTCCTTTTTAAAATAACTCAACTGTGAATCAGTAAGATAACCAACAAAAATGCTTCCCACAAAAGGTCCGCAGTATTGGAGCTGGGAGTGTAGCTCAGTGGCAGAGCACTTGCCTGGCACATGCAATGCCCTGAGTTAGATCCCCAACATTGCCCCCTCCCCAAAAAAGATTACAGTGTTTTTCTAAAATAAAAAGTTAGAAAGAGAGGAAAAAGTCAGTACCAAATGACCAAAATTTTTTATTTGACTAAATTCTGCGTCATGCATAAGCATGACAGTCTCCCCTGTTTATTAGACTTTGGCAATAAAAAAACCAAGCAGCCTTGTACAGGACAGTGAAAATGCCAAGGGTGTCTACAGTCTTACTGTAGGATAAATAGATATATATTTAAAAGGCCTCTCTCCCTTTGGCCGTATCAGCTCAGTCCAGATCATTAAATATAGACAAGTTTTTCAAAATCACTTCTTTACTTCTCCAAGGTCTTCAATGCTGTCATCATCCACCTATAATACACAAATATTTGTATTCCATGAGCTGTGAATTCAAATAAGGAAAAGGTGAAACAACTTGCTTTAAACAACTTATATCTATGGGTATATGTGTTCCATGAACTTACCTCTGGCCATTTTTCCTGAATGACATCAATTATGTCATCTGTAAAGTCCCCCTGAATGATGATTTCATCTTCCCCTGTTACTGAGGCACCGCAGGAGAATTTCTGAGCAAAAAATCTTTGTGCTTCTTTAAGATCAATTTCTGTTGGTTTAAAAGGGGAGGGGGGAGCAAGATTATAATTGAAATTATGAATCAAAGATATTTTTCCATTTTGATATTTAATCTGCATTTTAAATTCATGAAACAGGTATTAAAGGATTTCATATTACTTTCAGAATAGTAATTAAAATAGTCAGGGCTCTTAATTCAACATGCTTTTTCAAGGTCAAATAAAGGTGTAATACATAAAAACAGCATCATTCATACTATCCCTAGCTCACACAGTAAGACCAAAATGAATCCAGGAACACATTACTTCTAAGCATTACATACACACTTTTAAGTAGGAATGAAGTTCTTTTGCTTAAGCTCCCTTATAAGAGAAAAATTTACAGTGGAGAAACAATTCTTAATATTTAAAATGCAATCCAGTGATTCTTTTTCAATTGTCTGTTGTTATTTGAAGAAACCTTGCCTTATACTTTCATCCCAAACTCAAGGTCTCCAGGAATTGAAGGGCTTTGAAACAGGGTGCTCTTCTATCCACCTTCATTCACCCCTACTGTCATTCCCAGAGGATGTGGGCCATTATACAACTCTCTGCCACAAAGTCACCCAGCCCTCCTCCTCGTCCTACATAAATGTACCTATACAAGAATTCTAGAAAGGAAAAGACTGTATTACTGTCCTCTAAAAACGTTTTTAAAGGGGCTGGGGTTGTGGCTCAGCGGTAGAGCACTCGCCTCGTACATGCAAGGCCTAGGTTCAATCCTCAGCGCCACATGAAAATAAATAAATAAAAGTAAAAAAAAAAAAAAAGCTTTAAATTCCTCCAAATTATGATTTTTAAGCTAATTAAAAATGTAAAACCGGGGCTGGGATTGTGGCTCAGCGGTAGAGAGCTCGCCTCGCACGGGCGGGACCCGGGTTCGATTCTCAGCACCACATAAAAATAAAAATAAAAGCATTGTGTCGTGTCCATCTACACCTAAAAAATAAGGAAATATTTAAAAATAAATAAATAAATAAATAAAAATAAAAATGTAAAACCCAATTTTATACCTTCTTAGCAAATATAGACCAGTGAAGTTCTATGATATCAGATAAAAAGAAGGAACAAGAGAGAATATACACAATTTAAACATATACTGTGATAAAAAATAAACTTAAGCCTGAACTCACCAAAAGTTGCAAGGCCACATACTCTTGTCACATATTTCTTCTTTGCTCTGGGAATTTTAGCTATAGTAACCTTTTGCGGTACAGTCTTCTTTTTCTGTTTTATTTGACCCCTTCCACCTGTATTTATTTAAAAAAGCTTGTATAAATTATTTTGGGTTTTTTTTAAACATTATTACAGAATATTAAGCCTTTATTTATTTTCTTTTTTTGGGGGGGTACCAGCAATTGAATTCAGGGTGCTTAACCACTAAGTCACATCCCCAGCCCTTTTATGTTTTTTATGAGATAGGGTCTTACAAGTTGCAGAGGAGTCCGACCTTAAACTCATGATCCTTGTGTCTCAGCCTCTGAGGCTTTGGGATTACAGGTGTGCAATGCCATGCCTGGCAAATGTGTTCATTTTTTAAAGGTTTAAGTTCCTTTTTCTTTTTTTGAACCAGGGATTGAACCCGGGATGCTGAATCACAGAGCCATATCCCTAGTTCCCCGCCCCTTTTTTTAGCTGTATATTTACACAATACTTTCATTTATTTATTTATTTCTCCCACATGATGCTGAGTATCAAACCCAATGCCCCACACATGCCAAGAAAGCACTCCACCACTAAGTCACAACCCAGATCCCATTTTTATATTTTATTAGAGACAGGGTCTTGCTGAGTTGCTTATAACCTCGCTAAGTTGCTGAGCCTAGGTTTGAACTTGCGATCCTCCTGCCTCAGCCTCCTGAGTCGCTGGGATTACAAGCCTGTGCCACTGTGCCCAGCTAAATTCCCTTTCTCTAAAAGAAAATCACACCAGGTGCAGTGGCTCATACCTGTAATCTCAGTTCAAGGTCAGCCTCTACAATTTAGTAAGACACTAGCTCAAAATAAAAAGTGCTCAGTACCAGGGAGAAAAAAAATCTCATGTATATATTCACTCAATAAACATTTATTAAGTACCTACCATGTGCCAAGCACTAAACATAATCTCTACCCTACATGTTAAATAAATTATAGTAACCTGGTATGCACTATAATAGGATCCTTTTTTTTTTTTTTGCTTTTTTAATATTTATTTTTTAGTTTTAGGTGGACACAGTATCTTTATTTTTTTATTTTTACGTGGTGCTGAGAATCGAACCCAGTGCCTCACGCATGCTAGGCGAGGACGCTACCACTTGAGCCACATATAATAGGATCCTTTAATAAGGCACTACCATCCACATTTGGCAGAGGAATGACTTAATCTGCTTCCAGAAGACAGAAAAGGTTTTCGAGAGTGACAATAGGTCTTGAGGAAAAAGGAAGCATTTAGGTGAAGGGAAAATGGCTGGAGAAGGAAAAAAAAAAAAAATTCTAAGATGGGCATGGTGGTCACACCCATAATTTAGTGACTTAGAGGCTGAAGCAGAAGGAGAGCAAGTTTCCAGCTAGCCTTAGAAATTAGAAAAACCCTGTCTTAAAAAAAAAAAAAGTACGAAGAACGTAGCTAGTAGTAAAGTACTCTTGTGTTCAACCCCCAGTACCAAAAAGAAAAAAAAAAAAAAAAAAGACATTCTAGGGAAAGGGAACAAGCAGAGATAAGAAAAGGCATTATATTTGGGAACTGCACTGGTCTTAACTGAAGGATGCTTACGGATATGTAGTAAATGAAGCCAAAAGAACAAAAGATTATACACCATACATTAAGAGACTAGAACATTAAACTCTAGTGTTTGACTTTACATTGTGGAAGAAGAGAAGTCATTGAAAGACTACTGGAATGAAGGGTATGGTGGCTCACACCTATAATCCCAATTTCTTGGAAGGCTAAGTCAAGAGGACCACAAGTTTGAGGCCAGCCAGAGCAACTGAGACCCTGTCTCAGAAAACTTAAAAAAGGGCTGAGGATGTGACTCGGTAGTTGAAGCACCCCTGGGTCCAATCCCTGCTATCAAAAGAGAAAAAGAAAAAAAAAAAGACTGCTAGAATGATTCTACCAGATTTATGTTTTATCAAGCTTGTTCTAACTACTGTGTGGAGGATGCATCTTTGAAGAGATTGCTGCATTATCTCAGACAAAAAAAATCAAAATATAAACCAAATATGACAATAATAATAGCCACTAGGAACAGGATAAAGAAAGAAAAATAACTACATTTAGAACTAATTAAAGAGGGCAAAGAGAGGATAAAATGGTTCCCAGGATTAAAAGGCTCAGATAAACCACACTGTCATTATTAAAATGGGAAAATAAAAAATGGATATGAGGTTTAGTTAAATTTGACCTGGAAGTACTAAATCTAAAGTATTTCCAGGTCCTAAGATACACGCTGAGAATTATGAGTGTACAGTGCAGCAGAAGCTAGGGAGAGAATCATCCAGAGAGAACATGCAGAATGAGAAGTTTAAAGGACCAGGGACAGAGTCCTGGGAGATATCTACTTTTAAAAGACAGAGGGAAGAAGCCTCCACAGAATACTGAGCAGGAACAAAAGAGTAGAACTAAGAAAGAAGAAAGCCACGGAAACCAAGGAAGAGGCTGGAGGGTGGCTCAGTAGTAGAGCACTTGCCTAGCTAAGTGAGGCCTGGTTTCCATCCCCAGGACCTTAAAAAAAAAAAAAAAAACCACAACACCCCAGAACCACACTTTGAAAAAGAATAGTGTTCAAATGCCCTTTTTACATAGTGATAGCAGGCAATTGGTGCTTTTATTAGAACAGTCTCTTCATGCCACCAAAGCCAAGTTAGGACAGACTAAAGAGTGAGTGACAGAACAGAAAGGAGGATTATAAATCTACTTTTTTTTTTTTCTGGGTACCAGGGATTAAACTCAGGGGCACTAGACCACTGAGCCACATCCCAGCCCTATTTTGTATTTTATTTAGAGATAGGGTCTCACTGAGTTGCTTAGCACCTTTCTAAGTTGCTGAGGCTGGCTTTGAACTCATGATTCTCCTGCCTCAGCCTCCCAAGCCTCTGGGATTACAGGAGCACGCCACCTCACCAGGTAAGTCTCTTACTCTTAGTAAAGACACCTGGCTATGAAGACAAGGGCACTTTACCACTGAGATACATCCCCAACCCTTTTTATTTTGAGGCAGGGTCTAAGTTTTGTAGGCCCTTGCTAATTTGCTGAGGCTGGCCGTGAATTTTCAATCCTTCTGCCTCAGCCTCCTAAATCACTGGGATTATAAAAGAATACAAAAATCCTGAAAATATTTATAAGCTAATTTAATTACAGGGACACATAATTAATAAAGAAGAAACAAGCAAGGATAGGATCCAGAACATGAGATATAAAACAAAGTTTTCAATTTAACTATCAGAAGTAATGAGAGGATAAATTCTTAATGTCTATTTCATCAGTCTACTTAAACAGAATACACAGGAATCTTCACTGGATGACTGCATCTTACATGTACATATATACAGTATATATGCATATTATCTCCGGTCAAATTTACTAATAAAGTCCAAATCATATCACATTCAAGCATGACCCTGAGAATGTAATTTTGTGATCCTCTATATGACACATTTATGGAATTAAATTATAACTGGTAGATGTTTCTCACTTTGGGAACCCTAATTCCTTTTATGTTCTATCACAGGGAAGGTATGTTTATTCAAATCAAAACATGGATTTGGGTCTTACCTCTCTTTTGTTTTTTCTTCTCCTCCTCTTCTCCTACTGTTCCTTGACCTTCATTAATTCCAGCTTCTTGTTTGGGTGAGTTTTCTAGATATAAAATGAAATCCAAAAGCATTAATATCATTTCATACTGATAAAAAAAGAAATTACCTTTGAGTAATTTTCATATGCAAATAAGGGATTTTACCAACAATTGAGTATGACATTCCTAAAGCAAATGATTTACATGGCTTTATTTCTATACAAGTCTTAATTCTAAAGTCATTATGTTATGGTTTGGATAAGTGTACCTAGAGGCCCACGTGTTAAAGGTTTAGCCCCCATGGTGGTGCTATTGGGAAGTGGAGGAACTCCAACAAGGTGGGGCCTAGCAGTAAGTCCTCGGGTCTCTGGGGAAGTGCCTTTGAAGAAGATAGTGGGTCCCCATCCCCTTCCTTACTACCAGGCCATGAGGTAAGTAGTTCTGCTCTATCATAAACTTCCCCATGATGTCAAGGCTCATCACAGACCCAAAGCAACAGGGCCCCCAATTATAAAATGAAACCTCTAAAACTGAACCCCTTCATAAGTTGATTTTTTCAGGCATTTGTTATAGTGATGGAAACCTGATTAACAGTAAGTAATGCTAATAGAAAAAGAAGTCTTGGAATTATGGAAATAACTGGAAAACCAAGCAGCACAGTGGGACATGGAGTAGGCCTATTCCCAGCCCAGGTTTTCCCTTGTTCTTGCCACTACCTTCATTTTTAACCATCTTTTTTTTTTGTAGTTGTAGATGGACAGAATGCTTTTATTTTTTTACTTTCATGTGGTGCTAAGTATCAAACACAGGTGCCTTACACATGCTAGGCAACTGCTCTCCCACTGAGCTACAGCCCCAGCCACAAAGCTCAATATTTTTGGTACTAGGGATTGAACTCAGGGCACTCAACCACTGAGTCATATCTCTAGCCCTATTTTGGGTTTTATTTAGAAATAGGATCTCACTGAGTTGCTTAGCGCCTCACTTTTGCTGAGGCTGATTTTGATTCTCCTGTCAAAGCCTTGCAAGCTTACAGGCATGTGTATACTCCTCTGAGCAACAAAACTCAATCTTTTGTTTACTGCTTTACCCTTGGAACTTAGAACAATGTGTAGCAGCATATAGTATGCTCAAATTAATGTGAACATTTGCCCTAAATCATTTAATTTTTTTCTATCAGTTGATACAGATCTATCCTGCTTCTGAATAGAAAGTTTTAAATAGATTAATGAAATTCTGTAATATCCTATTAAAGAAGGACTTTCACATTTAATACCATATATACATCTGTTTCAGATATATAAGTTAGAGAAAAGAAAAAAATTTTCATACCTACAGTGAGTTTTGCAAACTCATTTGGAAAATTCTTCTCTAACCACTGCCTACATTTAGCAACATCAGGCATATATTCACAGTACTGGGAGGGAAAAATAAAAGAACAAATTGAGTCACAACAAAACATTTTTAAACAATCTATATATTTTAATTAAAAAGTATTGTCTATTGTTGCTATATAAACAATGATTAACCACTTTCACCAGACTTCTTATCCATAGGAAATCTGTATTCAAATAGGAAATGCCCCATAAGAAACTAGAAATAAGAAAGGATTAGGTACCACCTCACTGTAGCTATTTATTTTTTCTTCATCCAAACAATAAGTCTAATGAACAAGGGCAATGAACAAAAACTATCTTGCTTTGGGTACACAGGCGCCTCATTATTTTTCTGACTTACCCATAAAACCTGTCTCAGAAAGTCTTATAAGACTATGCCTTCATTGACCTGAGTCTTTTTTTCTTGACATTAAGACTTTTATATTGCTTTTTCTTTCTTCTCCTCAGACATGATAGTTTTGGCTTTAGGATTACTCTTGCTTTATCAGCTGACTATTCATGAGTTCCATGCAAAAATCCAGAATGCATATATAGGTAAGTGCAAAAAAAGTACACATAACAGCTGAGCACAGTGACACGCACCTGTAGTCCCAGCTACTCAGGAGGCTGAGGCAAGAGGATCAGTTGAGCCCAGGAGTTCAAGACCAGCCTGGGCAACACAGCAAGACCCCATCTCAAAATAACAAAAAACAAAAACAAAAGAAAGAAAGAAAGAAAGAAAGGGGAAAAAAAAAAAAAGAGTACACGTATAACTCAAGGTCTAAAGGAAAGAATTTATAAACAGGCATGATGGCACACACTCTGTAATCCCAGCTACTCAGAGGCTGAGGGCAGGAGAATCAAAAGTTTAAGGCCAGCTGGGCAACTTAGAGCGACCCTGTCTCAAAAAATAAAAAGGGCTGGGGATGTGGTTCATTGGCTAGTGCTATAATGCTTGCCTAACGTGCACAAGGCCTTGGGTATAAACTTTCAGTTGCCCTTCCTCCCAAGAAAGTTATAAGACTTTAAGAGTATTCTACACCAAAGACCTATACAAAAGGTTGAAACTCATCTATCAAATGATAGGAAATAAAAAATAAGAAAGTTTTGTGTTAGCTCTAAATTCAAAAGTAAGTTAAAAAAGAGAAAATAATTTTAAATGGACTTACCTCTGTTGGTAATGAACAGACTGGAGAAATGTAGAGGAAAAAAAAAAATAAAATGTTAAATATATGAATACACACAGGACTCATCATTAATTTATATTTGACAAATGCTTCATTTCTAATTTTTCTGTACCATTTTCAAATGTTTTTTCAAGGCTATTTTTGCAGAAAAAGGGACATGATTATTTGAGATGACACTATCTTGATCTTTTGATCTAAGAAGATGTCAGTTCATGGAACATGGAGCCTCTAGTACATTAAAGCTCATCTGTTAGAATGTTTGTCTTCAGTTAAGCTGCGAGCTTCAGAAGGCCTGGCACAGAGCAGAAGCTTAAAGCACGTTTTATAAAAGAATCCAAACTGCTCTCTAAATCCCTGCTCAGACTTTAGCAGAAATGAAACCAGTCTAATTTGCACCCTTCTTTTTGGAAAGGAGGGGGTAGGGAAAAGGAGCAACAAGAAACACACATTTACTTTTATTTTTCTCTTTAATCAAGTACTCTATATAAGGATTTTTTACTCTTCTCTAAGTACTCCAAGAATACTAAATATCTGCCAGATGTACAGTTTTAATAAGTGATTTCTCCCCCTCCTTTGTCCTCAAACCTATATAACTACTTTATCCTGTTGATTCCACTGCCATCAAAATCTCTCTCCTTAACCTCCTCTAATTTATGCTGCCTTTTTTTTTTTTTTTTTTTAAAGATAAGGTCTCACTTAATTGCCCAAACTGGTCTGAACTCCTGAGCTCAAACATCCTGCCTCAGCCTCTGACTACCTGGAGCTACAGTTGTATACCACCACACCTGGCTCTGCTACTCATTTAAACCCTAATTAATTTTATCTAAAGTCTTATTATAGTCTGGCAATAAGCTTTCCACCCCCAACTTTTATTCTGATGCTGAATTCATCTTCACATAAATTCTCTGCTCATAAACTTCCAGTAACTTACCATCATCTACAAATGAAGTCCCCCACAATCCGGCCACTCCTCTTCACAAATCCCACATTATAACCAAACCAGAGCACTTACAACCTGCTCTATACTCTCCATCTTTTTTTCACCTCTCTTCTGTTGTTCCCTTGCCTGGTAGGGCTTATTCTTCTGCCCTCTGTGCCTGCCTGAATGCTTCCTTCCCTTCAAATTCCCACTCAATGAGTTACTTCTATGAAGTCTTCCTGATTCCACACAACTGGAAGACAGCTCTCCCTTCCTCACTGCCACTGTGGCTAATTGTCCCAAACCTTTTATTTCTTCTCTCTGCTGCCAATCTCACCTGTATCCTTCTTTCAATACTCACCAACATCTACCTGGTATAAGTTATGTGTAGATGAAGGACAGGGCTCCTGCCAATTTACAACCCTTCCTGGAACTTTGTCCAGAACCATCAGAGGTATTCAGTAAATACTTTACAGTCTTTTTAAATTGTTGATTAATATGGACCTATTAAAAATGCAAGCTATAGGCTGGGGTTGTGGCTCAGAGGTAGAGTTCTCACCTAGCATGCATGAGACACTGGGTTCAATCCTCAGCACCACATAAAGTAAAATAAAAACATTGTATCCACCTATAACTAAAAAGTAAATATTTAAAAAAATGCAACCTGCAAGAAGGGCCTAGTGGTGACGCATGCCTATAACTCCCAGCAGCTCAGGAGGCTGAGGCAAGAGGATCATGAGTTCAAAGCCAGCCTCTGGGTTCAGTCCTCAGTAACCCCCCCACCAAAAAATACAAGCTACATCTTTTAGCTTATTTGTTTTAGACAGGGTCCCCCTAAACTGATGAGGCTGGCCTCAAACTTATGATTCTCTTGCCTCAGACTCTTGGAGTTTCTGGGATTACAGACATGCGCCACCATGCCTGGCAATGCCACCATTTTTATAAAGTGATAATGTTGGAATCTAAAAGTATAGCCCACACTTGTCTCCAATACTTCTGGACAGTATTCATTAGGTACAAATGCACCTTTCAATAGCTTCCATCTGGTAGTCCTAGTTTATTGACTCCTAGTTTACTGAGGTCGCTGGAAAACAGATCTTATCCTTGAATCAGAGGCTTTCAAATTTAAAATGTTGTTACATAGGTAACCACCATGTAAGAATATGACAGGAACCTAAATTCTCTGCATCCTGTTAAAATAAATGTACCTGTTTTTCTTACATCTTTAGTTATGCTTCATAACTACAGAAAAATGAAACATAGTCTCCAGAAGCTGACATCTTCACTGAGGTAAACCTCTAGCAAATGAACAATCTCTCTATGTGGCGAAATCCACACAGCTCACCTTAGTCACAGAAATGATCCTCTGACTTTTTTTTTTTAAGTTATAGATGGACACAGTATCTTTATTTTATTTATTTATTTTTATGTGGTGCTAAGGATCGAACCCAGTGCCTCATACATGCTAGGCAAGCACTCTGCCACTGAGCCACAATCCTAGGCCCCGACTTCTTTTCTTAGAAAAGCTCACACACTCTCCACCTTCTCTGTGGCATATAGTTCCTGATTTTTCTTTTAATTCTCTGCTGTCAATTTTGATATTCTGGATTCTTCCATTGGGAGAAATTAAAATTCATATTAGAATAATGAACCAAATATCCACCTCTAAACCTAATCAACTTCACCACTTTCAGGATTTTTCTATTTTTCAATTCAGTTTAGAAATAGGGAACTCATCAGTGAATCTGTAACCTACCCAGCCCTGGTTTTTTTGTTTGTTTTGGTTTTGGTGGGTGGTAGGAGGTGCTAGGGACTAAATCCAGAGGGACTTTATCACTGAAACACATCTCCAGGCCTTTTTATTTTGAGATAGGGTCTTGCCAAGACTCTAAATTACCAGTATTGGCCCCAAACTTGTGACCCTTCTGCCTCAACCTCCCCTGTCACTAGGATTATAGGCATGAGCCACCGTACCTGGCTCTTTTCCCCTTTTCACTATTAACCATTTCATCTTTTCTTTTTTGTTTTCTTTTTTTTTTTTTTTCAGTGTTGGGGATCAAGCCCAGGGCCTCAAGCATTCCAGGCAAGAGCTAGCTCTACTACTGTGCTACATTCCCAGCCCTCATCTTTTCTTTAATTAATCCTCTTTCATTTTATATTGTTTCCACTATAATCATGACGCTCATTTACCTCACGCCTACATTTCTGAAATTGGCCTTTCAACCTGTGGATTCTCCCTCATCCACATAATGTAGCATATTAACCTTCTCATCAATTTATTTTCCTGCTCAAGAAATCATCAGTGGGCTGGGGATGTGACTCAAG